CTTTTCTAACAGTATTGCTGGTTTTAACGTTATCCAAGTAGCCGGTTGCAATTATTGCTCTCTCAAGGGCTTCCAGCTGGGTTTTCTCGATGTTCATTTTCTAGTTATTTGGCTTGTATCGAATCAACACCACACTTTTGGAAATAAGATATGCATTTGTCCTTGTTTTCCTCCGTTCGTTTGTGTGAATTCAATGCTATGTGGTTGTACTGTACGCCATGTGGGGCTTTTCGTGTATTATTTTCGCAAAGTAAAGTCATTCGATTTTCCACATAATTTTCCTAAGCATACTAATACGCTATTATCTCTTCAGTTAGTCTTATTCCAAGTCCGCTCGCCTTACCCTTTAGACCCTTTACATTTAATAGGACCTTATGCAAAAGTTAACGACCTTTTTGGCGAAATGATCTCTCGCTTTTCTGCCTAGTATGATAGCCAAGTGCACAAAAATTTATTATGGATGGCACAGAAGTTTTCAGAAGAATTGCGTGAGCGCTAGCAGCTCCAACTTTCATTGTTACAGTTAAAATACAAAGTCAGGGTCGAAGAAAATGTTTACCAAAGCGAAGAAGTGGTCGGTTGACATCCCAGACTCCGGGATTTTACTGCTGTAGCTGCATATGACTGTTATTTTCAAATACTTTCTCTCTTTAACAGCATAATCGTAGACAGGCTTTGATGTCAACGTATCTAATATTAAAGTCGTATATGAGAAGGGGAAGAAAGAGAACTGTTGAACTATTATTGGTCAGTTTCAGAATTTATTGAACGTTATTTTCAAAGAGAATTTGAAGGAGGAATCTTTACAATTAAGGATACCGTTCTGGAATAGGGACACTTCGATAAACGGCACGCTTCTGTATCATCAATTCCAACGCTCCTGCTATAATAGCGCAAGTAAGCAGTTGTTTTTTTTTTTTTTTTTACTGAACGTGTGGCAACTTTCAGCAACCTTTCCAGTGTTCTGCTTCTTTCGTTTGATCACTTCCTCTCTAGTTTTACCCTTTTCACCCCCAACAAAGACTTGCATTTATAATCACTAGAATTTTATTAAGATGCTAATAGCGAATTGTCAAACCTGACTCGTAAACAGTGCAGGCAGCAAGACCATTTGTAACCAATTGGAGTTTACTTTAAAAGGTGTTCATGAACTTGACAAATAATTGATTCCGTAGAAAACAAATTCCTTTTCCAGTCCGCAGTTACAATTTTCATTGGTTATCCAGAACGTTTGTTTTTTTTTTTGTCATCGTAATCGCAGAAAAAGCTTGGTTTGAAGAATCTGAAAGTGACGTCAACATAAGAAAAAAGACATTGTTCAACACTTACAGTGTGTTAAAACTATTACAGCCCTGTGTGGTCTTTTTAGACAGCCTATACCTTTGAGATAGTTAATCATCTAATCAAGAGTGGTGTGAAGGAGACCAAAATTTAATTTACGCCTTTTAGCATAACACTTTGTGGACCAGTCTAACAACCTCCGATTGAAAACTTGGGTAGTTTAATGCCTCCTCTCGGATTTATTTATGCCCCGGACACCTACTGCCACACCTACACGCGGAGTATAAAAGATCGAGCTCAGTAAGAGGTAGAATCATTTGATCAGGTTGAAAACATGTTCGGCAACCATTTCTGTCTGCTGTCTGTGCTACTCTCATGCTTCGTTGACTTTATTCATACAGCGGTTACTGGCCGTGTTACTTTGGATTTATTGAGTAAGAATAACAGTGACGAAGGTACCACCAGTGCTCCAAACAGTAAGCATTAGTAAAAGAATACTTGTATTAATTTAACCACAGTTTTATTATTTAAGTAATTATTTGTAGGAAATGTTTTCATAAGTCTTCTGCTTACAAATTATAGATTTTATTGCTGCTGTTTCTTTTTCAAAATGTTTTTTGACGATTTAATCAAGTGGTTTGTAGGTGGAGATCAACACAATTCTAATCTTTCTGCAGAAGAAGAGAAACTAGCCGGGAACCAAGCAAAAACAAAATTTTTTTCTCGCCAAATGTTATTTGAAAACTCGACAGATGGTAAAAAGACCAGGGACTTGCCAAAAAAGCCGTTGTTGAATAGGCCTATAGGTGGTGCACCAGCCGTAACTAAAAGTAGAACTGACAACCTTTTGGAGCGATCGCTAGCAAGTAAGTTTTGTTATTTTACTTCAGAAGTTATTTGTAACTGTCAAGCCTTAAACTAAACTGATTTTATAGGTTTAGGTGTTCAAGAAATTGCCGGCCTAAGTATTGGAACATTTAGAGTGTTCCCAATCATCTCTGTTTATGTTTGGGCACTGAATCGAACACTGTACCTTCTGTTGCTTCGGACACTTGAAGCTCTTGCACTTTTCCTCTTTTTCTTCGTTCTTTTTGCTTTCCTTTTTTTTCAATCTTGTATTACAAAATTTTGAGTTTTTTCTGCTTCCTCAATTATTTTTTATGATTTCGTTGGATTGGTAGTATAGCAGTATTTCTTGCGGTGTTGAATTTGACTTAGTTATTCGTTTTATAGTCAGCATTTTTTTTTCTTTTTTTTTTTTTTATTTTTGCAAAAACGGTGCGTATTGTATGATAGAGGTGTTTGTAAATAAATGCTTTGTTTGTCTAGTATGTCCTAATCCGACCTAAAAAGAAACCAGGAAAAAAGTGCTTTAAAACAATAGTGAACGCAAAAGAAAACACCTTTGGCAGTGATGAATTTTCTAAACCTCAGTGGTTCTGCGGAAAAAGTTAAGGTAAATGACACTTATACGGTTATTCTTCTTTCCTTGTAAAAAGACGTCACCATGGTATTGAATTTTCTATTATTATTTTTTTTTTATAATCGCTACTATTCAAGTCGAACTTGCATCAGCTGAGTTGTTCTGGTAATGTTTTGATGCCTGAAATCTTCGAGCGAACATTGCAGAAGACACCGATTCTTGATTTGCAAAATACAGCAACCAACTTTCACTGCCTATATTGCATTTTTTTCTGTATAAGGTATTTCCATTAAGCAAGAGAGAAAAAAAAAGGAAACAGTTTAAGGTAATTTCCAGTGAAGAAGTACCAGCGAATGCAAGTATGTTTGAAGACCAATTGACCAGGTGTTAGGGAGACACTGAGAACTTGTCAACGGACCAGGTCAGATCTATCAGATGCGGGTCATAGAGCTGCGCTTTGCGAAGTAACAAATATTGGACTTTTTACTCAGATAACCAACAGGAAAGATTTTTCTCCAAATATATTTCCTATTTTCCATCAATATCGAGCAGAGTCGACTTTTTGTTGATCTGAAATATTTTTAAGTAGACAAGTTTAAAGTCATTAGAAGTCTGCCTCAGATATTGCTCCTTGCTAGACGATGACTAGACTTACCTAATTTTTCACAAAAACTATTATTTCTTCAGTTGCATGAATTTATGGATCCATTTTAAACCTATCGGTATCAATGTTCCCGGTCCCGGGTGCTATATTTTCGTAATAGATGAGAATGGTGAAGATATTTGGATTAAAATTAAAAAACCGCCAGCGGTACCAGCGCTAGCTTCTTAAGCCACAGCTGGCTGTTAAAACTAGTTAAACCTGTTCAGCGTGAAAATGCTTCTTTTAATTGTGATTTGGAATTTATTACAACATCACAGAGGTTTCTTCTTTGCCACAGTGCCCCGATACCGTTCTCTTGTTGAAACCTTCAAGTGAAAAAGTATAAAGAAACAGCTTTCACTTTTGTCAAGAAATGTCCACTGGATTTGTAAACTTAAGAAGTGAACGTCACAGCGCATACGGCGACTGCTCAAACTTTTGCGATTGGCGGAAGATGACTCAACTGGGTCCTCGCATGCTGTACCATTTTTTCCGCTCACTACGAAACTTCAACCGAAGCTCCGCAGCAATTGGGACCACGTCTTTACATTTCGCTAATGACGACAGGCAATGTTGATAACTTCTTTAGAAGCATCCATGCTGATATTACTCGTTAAAGTTTTGCAAAGGAGAAACTTTGGCAGATGATATGCTTTTTTATTGTCAAGTGCAACGCTGCTGTTGTAACAGTACCAGTAAGTAGCTGGTTCTTTCTTACAATCCACCAGGGTGCAGCAGTTTTTCAGCATCCGTTGTCGTGTTCTACTTGCTTCGTGTGATTACTTTTCTTTCAGTTTCAGCTGTTTTACTTCCAGCAAAAATTTACAATATTCAACTTGTAGAGTTTTATTTTTTCAAAGCGAATTTACATACTCTCTTTCAGTAGCTGTTTAAAAATGTTGCTGTTTTTACCCAGAATTTTATGGCACAATTTTGGAGTTTTAGGTGCTTTGAAGACAAAACACTGAACAAATTATTTTGCCACTGCAGTGTCAGCTGCAGAACAATAATCAAAAGTTATTAACAAAAACGAACCTGAAGTCAGTTGCGCAAACACATGTAATTCCCCAGCCTTAAAAAACAGTTTTATTAAAAACCACGCTGCAACTTCTTACTCTTGTTAAAGTCAATACTTCTAGTAGCAAGTGAGGCTACCCCTCGTAATCATTACTCTCTATTTTTTTCCCTCTTTTACAGCAAAATTGTAAACGTTGATATTCAGAAAAAATCGGGCTTTTGACCGCACCAAAAGCTACGGAGCCGTCAACTTTAAAAAAAAAATAGAAGAAAGGAGACAGAAGAAGCAAAAGCAGGCCGAAGATTCAACTGCGTTAAAAAAACTACTCATAGTCAACATTTTATAAGTCTACAAAGCTTACGCCAAAACACAGCACCAATAAGTAAAAACTGATGACGTTCACAATTAAATACACTTTTATTGCGACAAAAAAACCGTCAAATTGCCTCAGCAATAATCTGGAAAAGCTAGGTGCCCTTGATGATAATAAGCAATAATTACCGTTGTTGCGCGCCGTACTAATCATTACGCAATAATATATGCTGAGACTTGCATGAAATGAGCAGATCACGCAATTACTAAACTGAATTTAGAGCCACAACAAAATAATCGTCTAAATCCAAACCGTTCTATATATATATATATATATATATATATATATATATA